CGTCAGCTCCCAGAATGTCGTCACAAGCACTGAATGTTTCTACAGCTGGTTCCCCTTGGCCGTGATGGTGGGGGGGGTGTGTTGACCTCCTACCAGAGTCACAAACACAGTAAAACAGACAGAAACTGACAGGCATCAACCGCGAGGGAAACAATTTCTTCTGAGGATGACGGAAAGTCACTAATGAACCTACAAATTCAAAGGACAGAATAAATGCACATGGTACACCAAAACAAAAGTAAAGTAACACAGAACTGCAAATGGCCTTAGTGAAATCAGTAGAGAGACATCATCCGACTCGTCTATCAATGCTCCAGAGAAGAACATGTAGATGAAGAGCGACTTCGTATTTTTGTGAACATGTGTGCGTGTTTTTATTATAACAACAGTTCTGTAATGAATACTTAAGGTCAGACAGGCTATGAAGCCACAAAAGTGTTTTTAATGGGTCACTGTCATCAGTTCTACTAAGTAATTACCATTACAAATCCAAAAAAATATCTGGAATGAGTAAAACTGATCATCTAGATCATGAAATTGCATTGGAAGGGTATTTGCTAACTCAGGAGACTAATTATAAGGAGGGATTGAGCTGCTTACCACTTATCTCAATTGTAAAACCATAAACCACACTGGATGGGCAGTGGCTGCCAATCAGGGTCACTGTGGGGCAGCAAAAATAATACTGAACAAGGGTCAAGAGCCCCAGCTTTGTCGTTAGCTCGGTGACCTTGGTAGCTCTTGATAAAGATCATCCCATAGGAAAAAAGCCGATCCCTTCCTTAGAGAAATATGGCCATCCTAGAAACTGAAGCTGCTCATTCACAGAAAATACCCTCAAACTGCAGAAAGATTACACACACACACACACACACACACACCACATTCACTCACCTTTCCCAGACTAATACCTTCTTGCTTAATGGGCCAGTGTAGTACTACTATTAACCAGATGATTATAATTTGAGCAAGTGTTATCCATCCATGTCCTAAATAACAGTAGCTGACATAAAAATGATCAAACTGCTTTCTCACCCATGCAATTTATCAGCCAGAGGTCAAGGCTAAAGTTGCTGTATTTCTGAATCTACTTTTGACCAATAATAATAATATCATTATATGGTATTTTTAAATTCCCAAACCCCCTGCTAACTCTTACATTTAATCCTAAGAGCCCAGGAAAGTCAATGGGACACATTTTCTGAAGTGTGCACAATCGGTGTTGGTGGGCTTTCCGAATGCCTCCCGTGAAGCTAAATTTGGGGATACAAAAGTGATTAAGACAAGGTTCCTGATTTCAGGTTGCTCTTGGTTAGTGGTAGAGACAACACATTGTGTTCTAATTATTTCTTTGTGCATCTTAGACATCTTAGGGGAACACAAAGAAGAGGCTTGTATTTCTACTGGAAAAAGAAGTGGTGTGTGTGCGTGGGGGGGTTGCAGGAGGGAGGCTAGGCAGAGAGAGATATAAAAGATGGCTTCACTGAGAAGGTGACTTTGTCAGTGGATCAACGTCCCCATTCTATCTGTTTCTAGGAGAAGCTCAGAGTGCCACTGCATTTCTGGGAGCTTCATATTCCTCATCAATTAAATATGGAAACAATGCTGAATTTATAAGGAGGATGGAATTACTAGGAGGATAGAATGAGACAGCATATGGGAGAGCAATTTGTAAATAGCAAAGGACCCAATAAATACAGTATTATTATTTCCACTTTGCAGAGGGGCTAACTTGGCCAGCTCAAAAGGGGAATGGCTTGCCCAAGACTGCCACACACTCCCAACCCACTGTCCTACCTCAGACTCTCACAGCCCTTTGAACACTGAACTCTGGGGGACATATGGAAAGCACTCATCCTGGTAACATTTGATGGGCCCTAAAATCATGTTAACATATTCATATAAATAAACATTCCAACATCTTAAGACTTTTCTGTGATATAGTGCCTCTAAATCCTAAGAGGATACTCTCCATAAAAGAAAGATTCAACGGAGCATTGTAAGGGAAGAATCATGATGGGGAAAATCTTAAATATTTAATACAGGGATAAAACAGTATATACTTTTTTTACAAAGGATTTTAAACTACCCAAAGTTTCAGAGAATAAAATATAGCAGACCCTCAACTGTTTTAAGTGATTTGACTATGAACTTCAATAGAAAATCTTTGAATAGAAATGTGCCTTGCATTTAATACACTCAACAACTGTTGAATTAGACATTAGTCCTATCATTTTTACTCCTAACACTGTAATATTAAAATTTCTCCCCTCATGTATCTATAAACCTTGCTTTAAGCAAACCTACCACAGTCCATTGTTGAATCTGATGAAGTCTCATCCATATAAATATGTATACATATAATTTTCCTCCCTTATTAATAATGGGTTTAGAATACCTTAAGTAAAAAAAAAAAAACTTTAAGTAAAAAAAAACTGTATTTATTGTATACTATACAGTATGAGTTGGTGGATGGAAATATTCAGACATTCATGGGAAATTCACAAATAGTACTATTTACTGAAGGCATCCATCTGTATTAGTCAGGGTTCCCTAAAAAAACAAACCAATAGGTGACAAATAATAAGGAATTGACTCATACATTTATGGAGGCTGGCAAATCCAAAACCTGCAGAAGCTCCCAGAAATTCCCAATTCCAAGGCCATCAGGCAGGAGAATTCACTCACTCAGAGGGCCAGCCTTTTTATTCTATTTGGGACTTCAACTGATTGAATGCAGCCCACCCATATTGAGAAGAGCAATCTGCTTTATTTAGTCTACCAATTTAAATGTTAATCTCACCCAAAGCACCCTCAGAGAAACACCCAGAATAACACTGACCAAATATTCAGACACCCTATGGCCCAACGTGGTAACACATGAAACTAAGCACGCCATGCCCCACCCAAACAAACAAACAAACAAAAGCCTGTTTTGTTTTTTCTCTAAATTTTGGTCAGGTATTAATCACCAAGGTGAAATCACTTCAACAAAACACAAAGATACCAGTTCTCTTTTTAGAGAAGGCAGTATAAGCTCCTGGGGACCTGAAGACTCTGGCGTATTGATTAGGCTGCTTTGAATCAGAGTTCATCTTCGCCATCTCCCCCCATTATATATACTACTTGCCTTTCTGAGCCACACCTTCCTCATCTATTAAATGGAAAAATAATAGTGCATATTGAACAGAGTAGTTGGAAAGTTTGATTGAGATGATTCCCATAATGTGTGTCTGTCACATGACAAGTTCTCAATAAACACTGGCCGCTGAAATAATAGTTACTGTAATAACTGGGAGTTCCAATCCTAAGCTTTGCTGAAACCTATTAAAATACGGCATAACTGCCTTAACCGGGATATTTGTTTCCATCAGCACAAATTTGGGGATTTTATCAGTTGCTTATACGTATCTTTTTATCAGATGTTGATACATAGATCATTTGGCCACCAGTACCACAAGAACAGGCAAAACATTTAGTAACCAATCAATTCAATCAAAATAAGTTTCTTTATTTAGAAAATCAGTAATGGGGGTGGGAGTGAGAAATCCTAGAAGCAGGGCACCTGGGTGGCTCAGTGGGTTAAAGCCTCTGCCTTGGGCTCAGGTCATGATCCCAGGGTCCTGGGATCGAGCCCTGCATCCAGGTCTCTGCTCAGCAGGAAGCCTGTTTCCTCTTCTCTTTCTGCCCACCTCTCTGCCCACTTGTGATCTCTGTCTGTCAAATAAATAAATAAAATCTTTTTTTAAAAAAGTCCTAGAAGCAATCCACCTGAAGACTTTAAATTTTTTTAAGTTTTTATTTATTTATTTGACAGAGAGAGAGAGAGAGAGATCACAAGTAGGCAGAGAGGCAGGCAGAGAGAGAGGGGGAAGCAGGTTCCCTGCTGAGCAGAGAGCCCAACACGGTACTCAATCCCAGGACCCTGTACTCAATCCCAGGACCCTGATCGTGACCTGGGCCAAAGGCAGAGGCTTAACCCACTGAGCCACCGAGGTGCCCCCACCTGAAGGCTTTAAAGAAAGAGAGAGATGTGGATGCGGAAAGGGGAACAGAGGGGAACAGAGAGTCCCCCTCTACCCACGGATTAAATCTACATTGTAGTCAATAACTTCTGAAGAACCTGGCATTGGAGGGTAGGAGGCAGGACAAAGGAGAGGCTGTCACTCCTGTCGACCTTGTCTGGCCCCACAGCCAAAAAGTTTGGACTACAGTCAGAAACTGCCTTCTGGAATGGCCTTGTCGTAGTTACTGTGTAATTCAGAAGGCTCCCCTCACCTGAGGATGGTCTCAGCTTCCTCCTCTGAAAACGCTGCCCTGCAGGGAACTCTGCCCCATCGCTGCTTTCCCCCAAAGGTTTAAAACCCTATGGTTTTGCTACGAGGACAAAGACAGAAAATGACAGCATTTGGAGAAATTCTTAAAAGTAAATGATAGAGGTTTTCCTCTCCCTCTACCATCTCTCCCCACTCCTGCTCCTGAAAATTATGTCTGTTGTATCCTCAAGGTCAAGGTTAAAGCCAGGTTGAAATTCACCTCCTTTCTGATCCTGTTTGCCTATCTTTTCCAGTTCTCATTAACTACCTCTTCCGGGATCCGGAATCTATGCAGAGTAAGTCCGCTTCAACTTCGGGGGGAGTTTGGGGGTAGATACCCTCCCCGCTGCCCCCAGGACTACCTACCTCCTTTCCTCTTGCTCCTTCTCAACATTTCCTTACTCTCTCAGCCAATAGAGGGGTTTAAACATGTAAATGTGGTATCTAAACTGCATTTAAAGAATTAACCCATTTTGCCCCTCACTGCTCTGAACCACAGGGTGCAAACCGGACTCTAATTGCTTTCATCTGGTGGGGTTCCAGACAGCTCCTCAGAAGGAAGGAGCGCACATTCCTGGCACCAATTGGCTAATTCAATTTACTTCCACGGCATTAGCCTCTGTCAGAATATTCATGAGCAGGGGAATGAGGACCCGCGGCACAGACAGGCGGCAGCCACTCGGGCTAGGGAAGGCGCGAGGGAGGGGAGGCGGGCCGCGCGCCGCGCTCCGGGGACGGTGACCGCGACGAGGCGGCTCTTCTCCCCGTCCGGGCCGAGCGCAGGGGGCCGCGGGAGGGCGGGGCAGGGCATCCGCGGGGTTGGCGCGCCTGGCATTGCAGCCCAACTCCTGGCGACCGTGCGGAGACTTTGCGAAAGATCCGAAGGCAGAAAAGCTGTGACACTTTTGATACAGGGGGTAGGGGGGTGGGGGGCGGGGGCACGTCGCAAGCGGAGGCGAAGGGACGCAGCGGGACACCTGGCGCCCGGCGGGGTTGGCAGCGATGTGACCTGGACGCCCGCCCCGAAGGAGTCTGGACCGAAGGTCCCCGGAGAGTCGCCGGCCGTGCCAGGTAAAGGGGAGTGCTCGGGTGGGGACCCGCGCGTTTGTCCCCAGGTTCCGGAAGCGGGGAGGCGCAGGGCGCCGGTGCCCGCTCTCTCCGGGCAGCAGCCCCCCGGCGCGGCGCTCTGCCCCTCTCCGCGCCATGCTCTCTCCGCAGGTCCCCGCCGCCGCGGCAAGCCTGCGGGCCGCTCGGAGTTGGACTTCCTCGGACTTTGGGGGAAGGGGACGTGAAGGAGCCGCCCAGGCTGGGGAGCTGCTTCCCGGGGGCAGGGAGCTGGGGCCGAGCGGGGCGGCCGGAGGACGCTGAGCGTCGGTGGCGGGGGCAGCGCGCGCGGGGACGTGGGGACGGAGGACCCAAGAGCGCGGCTCGCGGGGACGCTTGGCCCCGGCTTCGCCCTCGTTTCCCCGAGGGCGGCGGCGCCTCCGTCTGGCTGCGGATGGGCGAGAGCTGGCTGCGTCCCCAACTCAGGGATGCGCACCGGGAAGGGGGACCGGAGAGCAAGGCTCCCGGGAGGCTCGGGCGCCTGCGGGGCCGGTCGCAGTCCGCGCCTCTCGCCGCGCCCCGGTTCGAGCTCAGCCGTGGGAGGAGAATGTGGTGGTGACTAGGGTCCCCGCCACCTGCCGGACATCGCCAACTCCCCGGATTTCCTGTCTCCGGGCCCGACACTCCCAGGGAAAGCTCTGAATTGCGCTCGGGGTGTTTGGGTTTTGCCCGCCGTGGTTGCCTTGGGGTGAGAGCTGGGGTGAGGAGGCTGCTAGGAGGTCGGATAGGGTGAAAGTTGCAGATGTGTAAAAGAAACGCAAACGCTGAGTCCCAGCCCGCCTTAGCAACAGGAGAGACTGGGGGCTGGACTTGGGCTGAAGCAGGAGACTCGGCCTGGCTATCCACCTCCGGGGCGCGGGGGTGGGGGATGGAACCTGGAGGGCAGCCTGGAGGCACTGCCAGAGCCCTTTTCTGTGTGCTGAGACCTGGCAGAGACAGAGGGCTGGCAGCACAACACCTGGGGGTGGGGCGGAGGGGTTGGATCCTGGTGGATTCAGGCTTCACTGTGCCTTTATTATTGTCATTGTCATTACTATTACTATTGCTGCTGTTGTTACTGGCACAACCGCCAGGAAGTATTTTGTCTTCTGTTAATAGGTCGCCTGGAAACTGAGTCTGCCCCTCCCCAAATAAAATGTCCCCTGATCCCTGCTAGTCTCTGATGTCCTCCCATCAAAGGAAATTACCTCTCAGAGCTGTGGTGGTGTCAGGGACACAGCTAAGGAATTGGAGCGACTTAAAAACACAGAAACAAAAAGTCGCAACTGTATACTGTGACTGCGCCCATGCTAGAGATGGACTTCCATCAGCTCGCCTTCCTCAGCCTTATCTGGGTCTGGGGAGCAGTGGAGTCGGTGCCAATTGTGAACTCTGTCCATGACCCAGCTTTCTCCTTTCTTGTATATATATAATCTGGGAATTAATTTTTATCTTCGGGTGACCCTCGCAGCCCCACTGGGCATGTGACCTGGCAGGGGCAGGCTTCGGTTCCCAACACTGGAGGCAGCCACAAGGGCACCTGCGCTTGCCTCCTCTTGGCTTGGCCCCTGGTGAGAGCTGGCCAGCTGATGATGGAGAAAACAGGGCAAGAGTGTGGGAGAACAGCGCGTCAGAGCTAAGCCAAGTACAGGAGATGAGGTCAAGCCTCTTCACTGGCCATATCCCCTTCTGCCAGAGCAGAGAGACAAATGAAGAGCAAGTGGGAAGTAGTATAAATTGGAAAACCAAGCTCTCAGAGTCTACTTAAGGCTGTCGCCACTGACTTTGGTGTGACCTTTCCTTTCCCGTGCTTCTGATTTTCCCTATTTGCCAATGCACGAGTAGCCATGCCTTTCTAATAGGACAGTTGTCATGAGATGATCTAATTTCGCATCCAAAAAAAATGCTTGGAGCATCCTGGGAAAGGACAGTCTATAAAATACGAGATTTGAATGTTTTGTGAAAAGTTTGCTACACTGCAGGTTACGGAGACACATTTTTAGCATGTGTGCCATGTGGCAGTGTAAAATTAAAATGGAAAAGGAAAGTACAAACATAAAAATGACTTAGCATTCTTGACATTCTTGTGCATACTTGTAGAAAAATTATCTTTCATTTGGGGAGAGTTGCCCGGGAATTTAATCAGTGTTTATACTACTGAAACGCCCCCTTCTACCTTTCTCCCCTGTAAAATTTTATGACCCAGTTCTCACAGCAAAGGCAATGCGAATGGGCTAAGTGCTGGGGACCGAGAGGCCAGATCCAAGGGTTGTTAGGGGAACCATCACATAGGGTTTGGAGACTGGAATGGGAAAAAAATGCGATCACCCTCACAGAGCAGGGAAATGTTTGGCGGGGGGGAGCGGGGGGCAATTGAGCAGTGTAGGGCAGCGGACCTAGCAGTGGCTGTCATTTGCTCCCAGATTCAGGAAAGACACTCTATCAGTCCAAAGAGGGCTAACCAAGGTGCTTTTTCTTCCTCCCTTCCGTTAAGGTACTGCCTTTCTCTTGTCTTTGGATTGGCAGTAATTTTTCTATCTGCGACTGTACAGTAGAATAGTTTTGTCTTGCTGTTTCAAAGAGATCCAGGCGTACTCTCTCAGCCCCTTACATATTTGTAAATATTCCCCAAGTTCTGAAGCTTCTCAAAGACGTGCAGCTGGTGGTGAATTTAAGTAAATAGTTGGAAGTAATCAAGAGAGCCACTGAAAAGTGGGTATGTTTTCCCCTGGTGGAGAAGTTATTGAATGCCTTTTGAGCTCGAAAATGAGCAGTTTAGAAAAGCAGAGGGGATTTCCTTGACTTCCCTCTACCCATAAACCAGTTGTTGTACTTTTCCTCCCCTCATAGTAGTGAGCACTGTTTGCTTAAGCATTTTTTACAATTTTGGACTTAAAATGGGGTTTCGCCTGCTGGTGTTCTATGGAGAGAGGAAAAATGTAAAGAGATACGGAAGGAAGAGCTGCAGGGGCCAGAACATAAATCAGCCAGAATATATGGGGGGGTGATGAGAATAGGTCTTTTCACCCTAAAAAAAAATGTCCACTTTGGAAGAAAAAGAAGTCTGATTATTGGCATCCGAGGCTGAAACCAAGGCAGCTGATGCCCAGAGGAGCCAAAGGGCAGTTCTTCTTAGTTTAGAAACAGCAAGACAGCCTCTGCCAAAGATTGCTGTAAACACGGAATAAAGATTTCATTGTGGGCTGCTGTGACTAGAATAATTAGACAGTTAATTGTTCATTCTGATCTAGTGCTGTTGGAATCAGTAGTGCAGAGCAGCAAAAATACGAGCAAGGGAGAAATAGAAAAGTAACACATCACTTTTATCTTCACTTGTTTCCCTGGGATGGTACTCTGGAAATCCTGGTTAGTGTTCAAAAAAAGAAAGAAAGAAAAGAAAAGCAATATTCATATCCCCCCCAGAACACCGGGGACACTGCATCTGTGACCCACTGTTGCCATTTCTTCCCCTCCAGGTTCTACTCTGGTTATGGACTAAATATGGCAGCTTCTAAAACCAGCCTGAGGAAGGACAGTAGGAATGAATGCATAGGTGACCTGGGCGTCCCTTACTAGACTTCAGTTAGGTGAGAGCCTTAGTAGCAGCTTAATCAAAACATATGCAAATAGCACCAAATTTTTGTGCTTCCGACACTTTTTTCAGAGGCATTTAAAGTTTAGGAAGTAAATATTCCATTTCTGACATTTAATTATTTTCTATTATAAAACAAATTGCCTAGTGATTAATCTTTCACATTTAATTGAAGAAATAGCCTCCTCTGTATTTTCATGCTAATTTAGAGACAAAAGAAAACATATTTTAAGTGATAAAGGTGATTTTAAGCAGCCGAGCATCTAGTTATTATAGGCAGTAGACTGTGACTTATTGTTATTTACTAAAAGATGGCACCGTCATAAATTCCTTCCAAAATGACTTCTGCAAATAAGAAATGAGTAAGAGACTGTGGAGAGCATTAAGTACTTGGTATCAGGGGCGGGAAGGAAGAATGATGTTATCTATGCATCAGGTTTAAACCGTCCCTGAATCCTCATATTGGTATGGAATATGGAGCAAAGTTCTCATTGTTCGAATGAAAAAAAAAAAAAAAGAAAGAAAAGAACATCTTTAAGTGTCAACGTTAAATATAATTGTTCTGTGAATAAAAGCACTGTTATAAAGTAAGCATGCTAAATTACATGAGGTCATAAAGTCCCATGAAAAGAAATACTTCATTTCTCCAAGATATGCCTTTGATCTCAGTTTGCTAAAGAGCTACAGAACTACCTTTACCAACCTTTAGTTTCTTCTACTCATCGCGAATAAAAAGGGATTGCAAAGGCAGAATTACTTACTGAGTGTTAAAAAGCATAAGTGGTACAAAATTATGGAACTATCTAGATTTCAGACGACAAAATACTTTATGAAACGCACTATCTACAGCAATTAAAAATAGAAAATCATATCGCCACATTAAATTATGGCAACAACCCATTTTAAAGAGAAATTTAGTCTTTTCTCATTTAATTGCTATTCATGGTTTGCTAAATAGTTTTTCAGAATAACCTGCCAATCTCCTGCTAACCAGAACTGTCTAGTTAAGAACGTTCCTAATTACATATGGATTAACTTAATTTTAGAACCCTAAAAATATTCAACTCAAAGCATACTCAAGTGCAATGCAAACGGTCCAATTCCCCTCAAGGTATATGCATTTTTTTTTTAAGTTTAAGGAATCATAAAAGAGAGCCCATTCGGTATGGGAATACATCAGTTAATAACTACACTAAAAGAATAAGGGAAGCTATAAACTGGTCTATCTTTTTAAAATATGCAAAGTTAAGTTATAACAATACCACTCATTTCTTCTTCCAAAGCAGTAAGGGCAGGTCATGTCCTGCAAAGTATAAATGTCAAATACATCACACAGCACTGCCTTTTGAAATGGGCATTTTTTTTTTTAATTTATAAGAATGGTTAACAATCTAATTAAAAGCTTGGCCCCTCTTCCAACTAATACCTTGACCACGTTGACAGCAAGGAGGTATCTTGCATGGAAGAAATATTTCTTTATAGTTCTATAGCTCCTCGTTGGAATCTTACACATAGGAGATTCTCAATAAATATGGGATGATTTCATTTTTTAGAAGGAAAATAAAGAGAATTAATGGAACTATCAAGTTCGATGAATTCTTAATATTTTATGTAAAATACTTGGTCTTTGTTACTTTAAATTATTTCTCTAAATAGGCAAGATATGCCCGTGACAATAATAATAATCATTACTGGCATGTTCATTCTGGTGTGGATAGGAGGAAGGTAAGAAAAGAGGAAAAACTTTGAAGGCTTTCCATTTGTTTTGGCATGTTCTCGAGTTTTACCTAAATACTGAACGTGTTTATGAGTGTATGTTACTAAAAATACACATTAACTCTTCAGAATGAACATGACACTTCACCAAATGGTTATTATTCCCAACATGTAGTCACACAAATTCCACCTTTGAAGTACTGAGGATTCACTAGACCAATTATGACTACATGGCTGCATGTTCCATCCTCTATCAGCTAATTAAAGGGTTATTAATAGACTAATAATTCCACTCCATGGCAATGGCTACTTCCGGTTGTCACTGGAGTTTGTCTGACATATGGCCAAATGGTCAAAGCCAACCACGTACCTGTAACACCGTGTTCAGCATCTGGCAGGAGGACAGAAATGCACACTGGAATTACCTGTGGCCAATACGCTTACACTTATCTGCTCTTGCACCTGATTTATAACTAAAATAACCTAAGTGAACCTTACCAAAAAAAAAAAAAGTAGGTGCCCACAAGGAACTAAAAAATGTCCATTATAGGTAAATCATCAGCCTGGTCTTTCTGTTTTCCTTTTAGGTCTGACCTTAGTTGAACGAACAAGGTGGTCTTAGTGTTTTCCTAGAGAACAGTACATAGTGTAATATGTTGGCATAATTGGGAGCTAGTAGTCAAGAGAAGACCAGGATAGAATTAGCATGAAGATTCAATTACCCCTTGTCCCCAGAGAGAGTTGTTTACTAGGATTTGAGTTAAGGTTGTGGTCGAAATAGCATGAAAAAAGGAACAGCACAGGGGCTCCTGGGTGGCTCAGTGGGTTAAAGCCTCTGCCTTCAGCTCAGGTCATGAACCCAGAGTCCTGGGATCGAGCCCCATATTGGGCTCTCTGCTCAGCAGGGAGCCTGCTTCCTCCTCTCTCTCTCT